AGTTAAGAATTACAAAATTTAAATAATCATTTACAGAAACTAGGAGAAAGAAAACTTCCCAACTCATGTTTTGAGGTCAATATTACATTGATACCCAAACTGACAAAGTATAAAAATATATTACTCACCAATACTTCTCATGAACTTAAATGCAACAATTTTCAATAAAACATTAACAAGTTAAATGTCCAGGCTATAAGGGAGCTCTGGGAGCCTAGTGGCAAGAAGCTGAACTGCAATACAAGAGGTATGTGGTTCGAATTCACCAGACGCTCTGCTGGAAAAGGAGGGACAATCTCCTCCTGTACCAGTCAGATTCAATTTGATGGTACACACACGAAAAATAATAATTTTTTTTAAAAAGCGCTTTTAAATGTCCAGGATATAACAACAATGCTATCTACCATGACAAAGGCAGGCTCCAAATTCCAAAACAGATCCTTGGGTGAGTGTAACCAACAGTTGGAGAAGAGCAGCAACATATTTTTCTCTTCATTCCATCCTAACAACAAGACATAGCACTAGCTGGTGTATGGTTGTAAGCCATGACCCTGGCCAGTCCCACCACTGACTAGTTCTTTTCCAGCTTACATGCTGACATGAGGTGTGCACCCTCAAAATTCATACTGGGGTTTGCTGTGCAGAGAGATAATCACAGATTGACCATAGGGACCAGCCCCTAAGGCCCGGCAGAAGGCCCATAGGTCTGTCTCCACACAGCTCAACACCTCTAGCTGTGCCTTCTTTGACTTTCCAACACAGAGCACACTAAACTGCCCAGTGAAAACTCCAGTCTTGGGTCAGAGGGTATGCTAGCTTGGGTCACAGGGTATGAACTTGCTTTGTGAATTCAGAAAGTATGGACACAGAAACACCCATGGTGAGTCCTTGAATAGGGGCAGGTGCCTGTTGGTCTTGCTGAAAGGGTTCTGAAACTCACTGCTTGAAGAAGACACACCACTCAGAAAGAGAACCAGTGCAAGGTCCTGGGAGCCTCTAAACTTGACATCTGTCAAAACCTTATGTTTTTATTGTAAAATACCCTCCAACTCAGCTTTGTTAATGTTAAAGTTCCTTTTACCTTTTGAGGTAAACTTGGAGCACCCCCAAGGCCAGATTCCAGTTCTGTGGGCTGTGAGTCAGGAGGGTGTTACTAAACCCTGGAGGGGCCTGTGGCTCCCTCAGGGATTCAGACTCACAGCAGATGAAGGTGGGGAGATGTGCTAACTTCCTTTTCAGCCATGCCTCAAAGGAAGACTGTCATCCGGGCAGAAATATGAACACACTGTTCAAGCTGCACAATACCCAGGGCAAGAGAAAACAGATCTTATGTGTCCACACTGTGGTGCAATGATAAGTGCACTGAGTTATGTCTGATGGTAGGACTTGATGGCTAATAGTGTCAGTGTAGGGAAAACACCTCTTTGAATAAGCTTAAAACTAAGTCTAGGTCTGATGTTGGTCCCCAACCCTCACAGGACAGGGAGGTCTGCCTGGTCCCAGGACTCAGTGGACAGGACAGTCTGCCTGCTAACAGTGGCTCCTCTGTTGTCAGAACAGACTCATAGCTGACCCTCCAGTGGGTTTTCAGAGGCCGTAAACAGCACAAGAGGAGATTGCCCATATTGTTCCCGTGTGGGGCAGCTGGTGGATTTGAACTGCGTAACTTTGGGATTGCAGCACAGCTTCTTAACACTAGCTCCCTCTTTTGACATCATTGCTATTAAATATCATGGAGTCAAGCACTACTCATAGCAACCCGATGAACAAAAGACTTGAACTCTGTATTGTAACTATCGTTGTTTCTCTATTAGAGAGTAACAATTTTAAGAGAACGTACATTCCAGCCCAAAGACAGGAGAAGGTGACCTGCCTGTGTCCACCATGGTCCCCTGGTGATCACAAAAAAAGCCGCCTCAGCACAGTGCCAGTAAAGGTGGTCCAACAATGGAGACCCCCACCCTCCTCCTCTCTATTCTCTTTACCAGCCTTCCACCCGCAGGTAAAATCCCTGCAATATAATCTCACCCAGTTGCTCACTTGCAACAGGTGAAAAATCTCTGCAGAAGGACCTTACTATCTGCACATTCTCTTTCTTTTTCTAAAATTACCTTCTAGACTCTCAGCGAGGCAATTCTTTAGGTTTTCTTCCTACTTTCTTGGCCTTCACATTTCAGTTGGCATCTTACTCCTGTCATACTAGCTATATGTAGATAGGTTTTAGCTCTCTGTCCCTCCTGGGGGCTCCAGGTAGACTTTCTTGCTGACCAGCGATAAGACAACTCTCAGACTGCCATTTACAGAACTCTGAAGAAGGACCGGAAAAATAAGCCACAGAGAACATCCAGGGTAGAGGAATCAAATCCCCCAGCCTTCTCTCCACCCTCAACTAGACTTTGGGACAGCACACCACTTCCAGTTGCTCTCCTTAGCCTGGCTCATCCAAAGTGAAGTAAGTTCCAGTTGGTGGTCAAAATAGATTCTTTGTACACATGGAGACACAAACACCAAAATCCACTGCTTCCAAGTTAGTCTGACTCATTATCAACTATAGGACTGAGCAGAACTGCCTCGCAGAGTGTCCAAGGCAGCAATCTTCACACAGAAGACTGCCTCACCTTTCCACTGCAGAGCCACTGGGGTGTTTGGATTACTGGTTCTCCCCTTAACCCACAAAGAGCTTCCCTAGAAGGAAGGGACTTTTTCCATTCATTGTCTCACATATTTCAAGTTGGAGAAAGGGACATTTAAAGGCTCACAAACAAAACATAAAACTTCAGAATTAAACTTCCAGTAAACAAGTAAACTCACTGTTGTTGAGTTGATTCTGGCTTATTGTGACCCTCCACCAAACATTCAAGGTTGCAATGTATACAGGAGGAGACTGCCCCCTCTCTCACTTGAAAGGCATTTGTTGGATTTGAATCACCAGCCTTTTGGTTGATAGGCAAGGATGTAACTCACTACCCTATCAGATATCTAGACAAGTAGAAATATTAAAATTTATCTCTGAGGGTATCTTTTTCATTCATGATTTCCTAAGTACTTGAACACTGACAGATATGCAAAAAATGTTCCATCATTTCCAGGAGCTCCAAACTGTCAGCTTACCAATAGAATCCTCAACACTGCATCTTGTCTTAGTGGGGATTTGTAACTGAAGCTATTTAGTGCCAAATGCACATGGCAGGTCAAAAGACTAACCTAAGAAGGATCTGACCTGATGTTGGAGCCAAGGGGTGGGAGGGTCACGTACACCATGCCCATGTCTCGGGTTCATTAGGGATTACCGGGAAGACAAAATGCAATACTCAAGGGAGCTACACCTGGGCCAGCTTCCTGGTTCTTGTCTTAGGGATGGGATTGGTATGCACCTAGGCAAGTCAAGGCAAGAACCATGGACACATCCCAGGTAAAAAACACTGCAAGCCCAGGTACCACCTCCCTCTTGTGTGTGAGGAGCCACGCTCCTACCACCATGTTTATGCAGAACGGGTGTGGGCAAAGGCTGCTGCTTTCCCTGTACAGGAGCTGGGGAGTAACAAAGTGAGTGAACATAAGCCCAGTTACTGTACTGCCCTCTATACCACCACGCTGACGTCTACCTGCAGGTACTGGCATCCCGTACAAAAGGAGACTCGACTGACTATGGCTGCTGGGAGGTGCCATCCAACACACAGCAGTGCTATTTACAGAACAAAGCCATGCCTGACCCTGGGCCATCCTGACAATCTCCGCTGCAATTAAAACCAATGTTGCAGTCACTGTACCAATCCAACCACTGAGGTCTTCCTCTTTTTCACTGACCCTCTATTTTTCCAAGCGTGATGTCCTTTTCAAGGGACTGAAGCCTTCTGAAAATATGCTCAAAGTATGTAAGTCTCACCATCCTTGCTCATACAGAGCACTCCCCCTGCCCTTCTTCCCAGGAGACAGACGCAATCTCTTAATCTACCTGTAATGTCCTTTAATTAAAAGATAAGACTGAATATGTATACAGACAGATAGTACCTGATTTATGGGGTAAGGGAGTTACCACAAACTTCACTTTTGACTGTCAGATACTTTTCTGAGTGGTGGGTACATCTTATTTAGTATTGCATACATATTATAACACATACTTTTCTGGTTTTATCACTTTTTTCCTTTTTTACTATTAATTTTAATGAAGGTGTTATCATTTTTATGCCAACCTCCAAAGACAACTGAAGATCAGATTTCTAAAGAAACTGGTAAAGGACAATAATAATGAAAACTTTTTTCTTTTTTTTTTAAAAGAGGTATTCCATCTAGGTTAAAACTGATTTTTACAACAGAGTCCTTGGAATGGAATCTCATCATAAATTCAATAGCTGTATATCTTCCCTACTTATACAATCAGACAGACATATTACTTCTTGTTGTTGTGTATCATTGAGTCAGAACCAACTCATAGCTGACCCTCCAGCAGATTTCCAAAGGCAGTTAATCGCATGGTAGGAGACTGCCCATCTTTCTCCTCTGGAGCAGCTGGTGGACTCAAACCACATGCCTTCTGGATTGCAGCACAGTTTCTTGCTACTAAGTCACCAGAGCTCCCTTCAAATTTAATATTTATTCATTTTGCACATTATTTGGTCTGTAATATGTTGGGTTCTTTCAGGGCATATAAAATTCCTTAACTCAAAACATAATCTTTTTCCTTCTGAAAAATTTTAATAGAGTAGTGAGGGAACCTGAGACTGTGGGAAAATATAGCACATCACAAATAGATAATTATGGGGAAAGGACATGAAAAGAGCAATCTATCATCATGTCCTCAGATCAAATGTTGTACTGTGTGCAGAATTTTCGAGACATAAAGTAAATTGCTCTTTGAATTTTCTTTCTTTCCCTTTTGAATGAACCTGAGAGGAAAGTTTGTCATAGTTTCCCAATTAGAGCAAAAGATACTGAGTGCTATCTGGCTTGTTCTACTCCTCTCCTAAGTGAGCCAGACAAGGAGGGAAGGGCCCACATACGTCCACGAGCCTCCAGGCCTCGCTGATGATCGCGTACTGGATGCGGTTCAGGACGAAGCCGTCCATCTCCTTCAGGACTCTGATTGGGGACTGTCCGATCTGCTTCATCAGGGCGTGAGTCCGGTCCATGGTTGAAGGGTCCGTGTCCGGGTGTGGAACCAGCTCCACCAGTGGGACATAGTAGGGTGGATTTACCTTAGGACGGGAGAGAAGAAAGCAGAGTCAAGAAGACAGGCCTGGGGATTTGGGGTGTTTTACCCACCGGCAGTCTATGCTCAATCATCTTGGATGGTCGGGGGGAAGAATTTCTCTTTGGAAAGAAAACAACTTTCTCTTTCATTTTTATTTGTGTGAAAGCTAGCCAATCATATTGGGGTTTTGGTAACCATTCATATACATTTTGTTTTATACCATTAATTACAACTGTAAATGTGATGAATTCATTACAATGTCTGATCAACTGTATTATATTTTGCCTTTCTTGTAATCCAACTTAATTTTCACTTCCCTCTATCTCCCTTCTCACCCCTGGCAACCATCCAAAAATTATTCTAGTGGTGTGTAAGCTTTTCCTTAGCTTTATGTAATGATATAATAATCATACCATAATAGTGCTTTTACAGCTGACTTAGGTCCCTCAGCATTACTTCCTCTAGATTCCTCTGTGTTGTATAGTGTTTCATGAATTCTTTGTCATTCTTCAGTGCTGCATAGCACTCCACTGTGTAACATATCATATCGCTTTAGCTATTTGTCTGTTGATAAGTACTTGGGTTATTACTATTTATTTGCTATTGTAAATAGTGCTGCAAAGAATGGCCTCTACATATAGCACCTACTGGCAAGAAACTTGAGAATGAAATTAACTCACAAAAGACAGAGAAAAAGAACTTGAACACAAAATTGTGCATTTTAATTTAAATAATAGCAGCAACAACAAAAGCATAATCAATAGATGAGATATGAGATTGAAATCTGGAGGTGCAGGTTAAAATTCTGACAAGTTTATGGAAAATCTCCAGAACCATGATCTCCATTCTCCCCACCTAGTAAAAGATTTCTCTTCTACAAATTATTTTAGCCTAATGTGTTCCCATTCATCTCCCAAGTCAACCTCAAGCACCAGTTCTTTCCATTCTTAGTAATTACAGGCTAATGTAATTCTACTGTATCAATTAAAAAAATATTGATAACATCTTACTAAAACTTGGTGCTTCCATAACTTCTCTGTGTGTGCCTCAAATACCTGCTTGCACCTGTCCTCTCCCCTTTCACTCTAAAAGATCCGCTCGCACCAGGAAACACAGTGTGTTGGACATGGCTTTGAGACAGGAGATGTCCTGCATGGAAGAACTCTATCCAAAGCTGGTACTAATGGAAACTTCCCTAGCCAAGGTTTTCACTTGCAGCTTTGCTTTCTTTAGTTTACTTCAAGAAACTCTGTTCTAGTCTATTTCCATAGAGAAATACCTACAAATGCCCAAGCAAAACAATGCTTGGCTAAACCTCATTAACTTAATGGCTGAGCCAAATGTGCCAAAGTAAAAGCCACTGCTTCTTGTTCATTCCAACTCATGATGACCCTGAGTGTATCACAGCAGAACTGCACCCTATTGGTGCCTTCCCTTCTCCACACTCTGCAGTGACAAAAGGCCTATCACTTCTATCCCCATCTCTTACAACACTCATGCCCACCACCATATACCTGCCAGGGACTCATCTCCAACCTTGACTATGGCCCTCTCCTCTAAGGCAGCTCCATCCTCTCAGCCTCCTCCACACACCTTCCCTGAGTGATACTGTGTCAAACTCAAGCTATTCCCATTTCCTCCAGGCTCAAACCTTGTTGTGACACTCAACTGCCCACAACAAAAGGCCCAAAATTTACTAGCCATGCAAAAGCTCCATATGTTGGGCCCCTCGACATTTCCCCAGACACACCACATCCTCACACCTCTGAATGAAGATCTGCACACTGGAAAGCTGCTGAGAGAAACTCTCAAGAGCCCTCTGAGTTTACATAAAGGCCACTCTTAGCACAGCAACTACATTCTTCCTAAGGAAGTCAAACCCTGCTTCAGGTTTCCAGAAGGAGACTGGCAATAATGATGCCCAGCTGCCATTGAGGCCGTTCTGCCCATGGCAACCCCAAGTACATCAGAGTAGAATTGCTCCACAGGGTTGTTGACAGCTGGATATGATCTCAGCAATTGATGCAGAAAGGTATTTGACAAAATCCAACACCCCTTCCTGAAAAAGACATTCAGCAAAACTGGAATAGAAGGGAATTTCCTCAACATAGTGAAAAGTATATATGCAAAACCAAAAGCCAGCATCATTTTCAATAGAGAAAGACTAAAAGCATTTTCCTTGCATACAGGGACCTGACGAGGATGCCCACTGTTACTTCTATTCAATATTGTATTGGAAGTATTTGCGAGGGCAATACAACAGAAGAAAGAAATAAAAGGCATCCAGATTGGCAAAGATATGGTTAAACTGCCACTATATGCAGATGATATAGTGTACACAGAAAATGCCAAGGATTGCAACAAAAAAATTGTTAGAGCTAGTAGACCAATTTAGTAGAATGGCAGGATACAAAATCAATATCCAAAAATCAGTAGGATTCCTCTACAGTAACAAGAGAACTCAGAGAAGGAAATCCTGAAAGCTATACCCTTTTGCAACAGTCAACCACAAATTGACATACTTGGGAGTGAACCTAATGAGAGATACTAAAGACCTATACAAAGAAAACTATAGAACATTTCTGGAAAACACAATAAAAGACCTACAGAAATGGAAACATGTGCCCTGTTCATGGATAGGAAGACTCGATATTGTGAAAATGACAGTCCTACCAAAAGCAATCTACATGTTCAGCACAATCCCAAAACAGATACCAAATTCATTTTTCAAGAAGATTGAAAGGGAAATTTTCAGGTTTATTTGGAGAGGAAAGAGACCCTTAATAAGCAAAGAACTTCTCAAAAACAAAAAATGAAGTGGGAGGCATAGCACTCCCTGACCTCAAAACCTACTACACAGTAGTAGTAGCCAAAACAGCATATGGTATCGGTACAATGACAGGCACACAGACCAATGGAACAGAATTGAGAAACCAGAAGTGGACCCAGCTATCTATGGTCAACTGATATTTGACAAGGAAATAAACCCTATCAAATGGGGGAATGACAACCTCTTCAACAAATGGTGCTGGAATAATTGGACTGCTACCTGCAGAAAGCTGAAACAGGATCCACATCTCACACCATACACAAAAATCAACTCAAGGTGGATCAGAGACCTGGGAGTAAAGCCCAAAACCATAAAGTTAATCAGAGACAAACTGGGATCAAGCTTAGAAGGCCTAGTTTATGGTATAAGGAGACTGCCAAGTCCAGCCAGAAATGTACAATGTGGAGAAGATAAAATGGATGAGTGGGACCTTCTAAAGACTAAATATCTGTGTGCACTAAAAACATTTTCCAACAGAGTAAAAAGAAAACCTATTGACTGGAAACAAACATTTGGCAATACCATTTCAGACAAAAGTCTCATATAAAAATTTACAGAATCCTACAGGGCCTTCACAAGAAGACGACTGATGATACAATTATGAAATGAGCAAAAGACATGGAAAGAATTTTCATAGAGGAAGATATTTGGATGGCCAACTGACACATGAAGAAATGCTCCAAATCACTGGCAATAAGATGCAAATCAAAATCACAATGAGATACCATCTCACTCCAGTAACAGTGGCAAAGTTTAACAGGACAAGTAATAAATGTTGAAGAGGATATGGTGAGAAAAGAACTCTTTGGCAAAGTTAAACAGGACAAGTAATAAATGTTGAAGAGGATATGGTGAGAAAAGAACTCTTACACACTGTTGGTGGGAGTGTAAAATGGTTCAACCATTCTGGAAAGCAGTTTAGTGTTTCCTCAAAAAGCTGAATGTAGAAATTCCATATTACCCAGCTATTCCATTGTTTGGAATATACCCCTAGAAAATGAGAACTGAGGCACAAATGGAGACTTATACACCAGTGTTCATAGCAGCTTTATTAACCATTGCAAGAACATGGAAACAGCCCAAATGTCCAAACACAATCGAATAGATTGAGAAAATATGGTACATTCACACAATAGAATACTATGCAGCATGAAGGAACAATGATTTTGTAAATCACTACTTAACTCTGGAGAGTCTGGAGAGCATTATGCTGACTGAACTAACTCAGTGTCATAATGCCAACTACTGTATGAAACCATTATTGTAGAACATGTATAAGGATCCAAGAGGGAGAAGGGAGGAGCAGAGGGTTGAGGATGAGTAGGGGGTAATAGCCAGGGTTGTACAATTTGATGGGTGGAGGGAGGGGTGAGTAAAGGAAATGGGAAAGAAATAGCTGGTGTAAAAAACAATGTGTACAAACTTTGTAAGTCAACCAGTATAAAATAAAAATTTTATTAAAAAAAAAAAAGTTAATTTCCATGCCTTTCTTCTGAGGAACCTCTGGATGAACTTAAACCTCTGCCCTCTCAGCAGCTGGGAACTTAACCATTTGCACAACTCCAGTCACCTGACAACAGTGATACTGCTCTTCCTGCCATCATGGCGGCCCTATCTGTGTACAGACGAAACTGTTCCAGAGTGTTTTCAAGGCTCCAATTTTTAAAACAGATCCTAAAGTATCTCTGAGTGGGTTAGAACTGCCAATCTTTCCAATAGTAGTGAAGTATTTAACCGTTTTCCATTTCAATTTAGCACAGTCGGAAAGATGAGAGGATGGTGATAACCAAAGTGATTTTATTACAAAGGTTAAGGAATGTCTTGAAACTCTGTGGTTTTTCTGACACACATACATACACACATACAAACACACCCAACATAGGGACCCCAAGACAGCCCCACTTCTTCTGCTGAATCTGGCTGGGAGACTGGAAAGCACCCCTCAAGAAGAGGGGAGACAAACAGAAACAGACAAGTGGGTGAGGCACTGAATATTTCACAGCCCTGGACTCTGCACCCCACTCAGCTCTGGGCACAGGAGGGGATTGTGTCCCTGTGAGGCTCTTTGAGGGCTCAGGTTGAGGGAGAGACACAGTGGAGCTTTCTCTCATTCAGCCCTGTGAAAGTCCTGCGAAACTGACACAGAGCTGCGAGGCATGTGATCACACCGATAG